GCCATGATGGCTTGGCTGCTTCCGCGAGGACTGATGCGTGCAGCCATGTGGAGGGGGGTAGGGTAGGGCTGCCAGGCCTGTCTGCCCTCAGCCAGAAGCTGAGAAAGGAGAATCATGAGGCAGCACTCCCACCTGCAGGCCAATGTCACACGCTCCCTGCAGATCGGGCAGAGCACCAATGTCTTTCTCTCCTAGGCCCCCAGGAAAGGATTATATTTTTATCATACTCAAGGGTCTAGAAGGGCAAGCCTAGACCAATGAGCCCTCTTCACCAGGGCCGTGGCTGGGAACAGGGCTGGGAGCAAAAAGGGCTGGGATTTCAGGGTGCAGCTGCACTCAGAAGAACCAGAGTTGGCTTCCACCTATCCCGTCCTCACGCCCCGCAGGTGGCCAGGCAGTGTCCTAGGCCTAGACTGTTGGGCAGGCTGTCTTGGCCTGCCTTCTTGGCATGGCCTCTGGCCCTGTGTCTTGAGACTCAGCTTGGCGCCTGGGTACCACTTGCTCCTGAGCCCCGCCATCTCCCTGTGACAGGTGAACTTCATGTACTGTGTCTTGGGTCTATTATCTGAATTGTGAGCAGGGTTCATCTATTTTAAACACAGATGTTTACAAATTAAAGCATACTTCAAACCACACACACACAAAAAAAAGACAAAAGAACAAAGAAAAAAAACCATGGGATTCAACTGAATTTTCAATGACTACTTGGAAAGGCAATACTTCTTTTTCATTATTCAAAATCTCTTTTTTTTTGTTTTGTTTTGTTTTGTACCTTTGCACTAGTGGTGATTGAACCCAGGGCCTTTTCACTAAGTTTCCCGCCCAACCCTGTATTGTTCATTTTGAGACAGGGTCTCACCAAGTCACTAAAGTTCCCCATGCTGGGCTCGAGTCTACAAACCTCTCATACCTTTTAACCTCCCATCCTACTTTTTAAAATATCTTATTGGCCAGGCAATGGCACAGGCCTGTAATCCTACCAGTTAGGGAAGCTGAGACAGAAGGATCACAAGCTCAAATCCTGCCTGGAAAACTTGATTTCAAACTTTAAAAAAAAAAAAAAAAAATTTTAAAAGCTAGACATGAAAGCCTTGGGCTTAATCTCCAGAAACACAAAAAACATTATTAAAGTTACATTACACTATTGAACTTTTTCTTTTTTTTTTTTTTTTTTTTTTTTTTTGGTGGTACTGGAGATTGAACTCATCTCCCTGGCCCCTAAAATTTTTTTAAAAGGAGCTAGGAATGCTCAGTGGTGGAGTCCCCGTGGGTGTGAACACCAGTATCCAAAAAGTCTTATACATCTTGCATATCTAGAAACTCTCAAGTTTTACTAGTAAAGCACATGAAGTAAAAAACCACACTATCTTCTAAGCAAACCATGACATGATACCATAAAGAAAGAATTGACAACTAAATTTTGGGTAGAAATTAGCAGGACAACAATTGAATTCTGAGATTAAAGCACTCAATTTAATTAGATAAACCAGAGAGAAGACTAGCGTGGAGGTATAGTCTGGTAATTCTTGCTACTTGCAAGCCCAACGCAGGAAAACTATGAAGTCTAGGGCAGAATAGATGATGGTTTAACTCTAAACTGTCCCTCGCAAAGTCTCCTGTTAGAGGCAGAACCTTTGGAAGGTGACTGGATCACAGAGGGTGAGAGGGAGAGCTACATTCATCAGTGGGTTAACCTATTGACTAACTCCTAGCTGACTGTGCTGTTGAGAGGTGGGAGGTGCAGACCTGGTGGGAGGCGCAGGTCACTAGGGCCATGACTCCAAAAGGGATATTCTTGTCCCCTGCGCTCCCTTCACTTTCTGCTTTCTGGCTGTCACAGTTGACCAGCTCTCCTTTGCCATGCCCATCATATGGTTTCTTCCTTGAAGTCAAGAAGCCTTGGACTGAACCCCCTAAATTTAAACCAAAATAAAATTCTCTTCCTTTAAGATGCAAGTTTCAGGTATTTTGTCCCAGTAACAGAAAAGTGACTAACTCAGAAAATTGGTACCAAAAGTTGGGCAGTTGGTATGACTATAGCTAATGATGTGATACAAAAGCCTTTGAAATTGATTTAGGGGAGGAAGCTGGAAAGGTTTAGAGATGCTAGGAGAGAAGCCTCAGAATGCTGTAAATAAGGATTAATGGGAGATTCTGGTTGGAGCTCAGAAACCAAAATGCTAATAAAAATACAGACAATAAAGGCCAGACTCAGGAGGTTTCAGATAGGAACTAAGATCTATTAGAAACTGGACTAGGAATCATACATGTTACATTCTGGCAAATAAATTATTTATATTTTACTAGAGTTTGTGTGTTGCTAAATTAAAAGGCAGTGGGCTAAATTGAAAGTCTGCAGACTAATCTGGTAGAATAAATTTCAAGGCACCCAACATTCAGCTTGTGGTGTGCATATTGTTAGCTACCTTATCTCTAATGAGAATCAAAAGCAAAATTCAGAGCTGAAACGTGATGATTCTAGACTGGCCAGAAAGGAATCACATGTAAAATTGGGGCCAAGGAGAGTGTAGTTGCTAAAAAAATTAGAGGTGTTTTTAACCATTTACAAGTTTACCCTAAACATCTGTCAGGCAGTACCATTCATTTATGTACTGACTATCCTAAGCATTGTTCAGGAAAGTGTCATTTCAACTTTTAATGGTCTTTTTGAGATAGGGTTTTGCTATGAAGTTCAGGCTGATCTCAAGCTCACTTTGTTGCCTAGGCTGGTCTTGAACTTGCAATGATTTTCCTGCCTTGACCCCCCAAAAGTGATGGAATTACAGGCATGTGCCATCACACCTAGCTGTAATCAATTATTATATTCAATAAATGTAATAAAATTGTCATTTTCACATTTCCTATCATCTTACAAAAAATTGTAATTTTCGGTCATCCTATATTTTTAAATATTTGGGGCCAGGCGAAATCCCAGCACTCAGGAAGCTGAAGCAGGATGGTCATGGGTTCAGGGACCCTCCTAAACTATATCGCAAGATGTTGTCTTTAAAGTAAATAAGGGCTAGGAAGACAGCTCAGTGGTCTGAGCACCTGTGTGGCAAGCACAAGGACTCGAGTTCGATTGCATGCCGTGATGGTCCTGGAACCCCAGGTGCACCATGCTGGCCTCATTGCTAGCAAGGTTAAGACAGGAGGATTGCTATGATTTTGAGCTGCATAACTAGACCTTGTAACAAATAAATAAATCAAATAAAAAATAAGCTTTAAAAATAATTTAATTAACTTAAATAATTGGACTGGTAAGTGGTTAAGAAGCCAAGTACTGCCAAGTGTGGTGGCATATGTCTGTAATGCCAGTGCTAAGGAAGCTAAGGCAGAAGGATTGCTGTGAGGGCAGCCTGGATTACACAATGAGACTAAGACCATCCTTGACCACAAAGCAAGACCCTGTCACTCACACACACACACACACACACACACACACACACACACACAAAGCCAAGTACTCTACACTAAAACAATAAAAAAGATGCCTTAAGGGCATCTCAGGAATCAACCCGACCACAGCCTTCTCAGGCTCAAGGGTAGAGAAGGACCAACTCCTTTAAAAGACTAAGAAAATAGACCCAGGAAGCTTTGCTCATCGAGGGGTGCCTAGGAAAGTGTATCCCCAGGTCAGCAATCTTTTCACTCAGAAACCACTGTAACCGTAGTCCAAGGAGTCCAGGCTATTCTCCAAGTGGTAGCAGACCTTGGCCATCCATATGGCACTCAGATATATAAACAACATACAAGAGCTGTGTGTTATGGAAGTTTCTACTCCTTGAGAGGTCAGGCAACATGCCCCCAAAGAAGGCAATGTCTGAAGCTGTGAGAGTAAAGCCAAAGGTACCACAGAGATTTCAGGATGTTGGAGGTACCAGAAAGGTAAAGAAAAGCTAAGCAGAGATAGCCCAAGAGTGAAATCATATGGACTGCAAATGACAAGGCCATAAAAGTGGGGCTTCTTAACTTCTTTGGAGCTCACATCTTACTACAACTTTCCCAGGATGCTGCGCATGGAGCTATAGAATTCAATCTTTACCCAGCTGGTCTTTAGTCTTGCTTTGGCCAAATTCCATTCTATCCTCCTATTTCTTCCTTTTAAAATGCAAGTGTTTTCCCTATAGCATTATATGTTAGAAGTATTTCCCTTTCTTTCTAATTTTATAAGGGCTCACAGTCAAGAGTGTACCTTGAATCCTATAGGATACCTTGGACTTGAACTTTTCAGCAGGGTTATTACTTAAGAGATAGACTAAATGCATTTTACATGAGATAAACATGAGCCTTGTGAGGGCTTGGGCAGAATGTTTTATATTGACAATGTACCCAAAAGTCTCACATGCTCAGAGGTGAAGATGACTGGACCATGGAGTTCGCTATACTCACCAGTGGATTAATCCACTGACGACTTCATTACTATATATGCTATTAGGAAGTGGGGCCTGGGGCCTGGTTGGAGGGTATGAGTCCCTGGGGGCATGACCTGGAAGGGTGTTAATTTTATTCCTGGCTCCTGAGTTGGCTTTCTACTGCTTGGCTGTCATGGTTAGAGCAGCTCTCCTCTGTGACACATTTCACCATGCGGTTACAGCCTTGGAGCCAGCCAATCACAGACTAAACCATCTAAAATCATGTGCTCCTCTTTTGAGTTGTAGATGTTCTTGTCCCAGTGACAGAAAGTGACTATTACACTAGGTAACATAATGAGATGGCCTCAAAAGAAAGAAAAAATAAAGACAAATCTTATATAAATCTATTAACACTAACAACTAACTAAAAATTTAAATTAAAAACCAAAAACAAATTCTTTCAGTCAACTGCAATGTTGGGGATATTTCTACCTATGTTGTATAAAAATACTATTTTCTACCAAAATAATAATACATAATTTTATAATCAGAATATAGTTGCTCTTAAAAAAGTTTCTTCCATTCAATACAACAAATAATCAAAACAAGATCCAGTGACGAAAAGATCACATGTCTCAAACTTACCGGATCAAGAGTAGGTAAAACATCTTTCTTTTCTAGACTCTCCACTTCATCTTCATCTGTGCTATATTCTTCCATTGTTTCACCACTAACAAAGTGGATGACTCTCCTTGGGACTTTCTTCTTTTTTCCTATGACTCCCAGTTCTACATTTTCAAAGCCTCTTTCATTACTTATCTGTATCAATAATAAATTAAGAAAAAAGAGTGTCAAATGAGATTCTTTTTCATCACATGAATACATGTTTAGTTAGTTACTTTTAGGAATTAAAGAAATATAATTCAGTCCTTAAACAATTTTTAAAAAACCCTGTATCTACAATTATCCTATCCTTGAACTTCCAGATATCTTAATCAATAGTATGTCTTTTTGATAGTAAAAGATTTACATTTTTTTTTTTTTTTTTTTTTGGGGCAAGTGCAGGTCCTGAGTTCAATCCCCAGTACGGAAAAAAAAGAAAAAAGAAAAAGAAAGAAAGAAAAAGAAAAAAAAAAAAGATTTACATATTTTTACTTGAACGGTAGTCTTTGGAATTTTAATTATATCCAAATTTCACTCCCAAGGAAATTTTATCTCAGATCTATAGCTATATTTAAAGTGAAAATAAATGTACACTGTGGGAGGAGACATTAAAGAGCTTTTATTATTAAGTTTACAGGCTTAAAGTTTTTTGCATCTTACTAGCTTTCAAAAAGGCACAGTGGAGGGCTGGGGAGATAGCTCAGTAGAATAAGCGCTTGCCTGGGCCTGAGTTCAATCCCTGGTTCCGCAAAAATAAAAAATAAAAAAAAAAAAGACACAGTATACACAATGGTGAAGGAAAATCTGGCTACCTCTACAAATAGGTACTAAAATGAAGTAGAAGATATAGGCAAGTAAGTGGCCAAGAAGGTCTTATTCTTTTTGCATTTTTATTGTTTGGTGCTATTTTTGGTTTGTGACAAAAATATGCTCATGTATTATTTGTATAGTTTATTTTGTTTCTTGAGACTGGGTCTTACTATGTAGTTCAGGCTGGCCTTGAACTCACTATGTAGCCTAGCGTGCCCTTGAACTCATGGCTGATCCTCCTGCTTCAGCCTCCAGAGTGCTGGGATCACACCCATGTGTCACCACACCCGGCAATTACTGGTATATTTAAAAAACTAAATGAAAGTAAAATGATGCAGGACTACATGATTACTATAATTGAAGTCTACGCTGGTAGGATTCTCTGCAATAATCCAGAATTCAAAACTTGTGTCACCAGGCATAGTGGCACATGCCTATAATCCCAGCAATCAGGAGGCCGAGGCAGAAGGAGCTCCAAGAGTTCAAGGCCAGCTGAGCTACATAAGTAAATTCAAGGCCAGCCTGCACTACATAGCAAGACCCTGCTTCAAAACAAAATAAAACTTTTGTTTTCTATATAAGGATTCTCGTAATTGTGGGCAAACATAATTCAAACCCATGCTTATTTTTCAGCCACTATAAAAAATTCTTTGCAGAGAAAGATTTACTGATAAATATAGTAGACTAGAATTGTTCAGTCATGAAAGTATAAGTAACTTTATTTTTATGTATTGCTCCCTATTAATCTTTAGAAAACAAGATTTTTATCTGTCTTTTATATCCTTAAGAGCTTATTTGGAGGTTGTAGAAGGGGAGCACAGCTACTCATATACCCTTGACTAAGGAATGGTCCTCCTCTGTCAGGGGTGCTTGTTCTCTTTGCCTCAGCTCATGGCTTCTAGGAGGGACACATAGAGAGTGTCCAGGGAGGAAGGGAACATGCACCTAGCCAGCCAGATCAGACAATTCACCGTAGTGATTAATGCAGTGATAGATGCTGCAGCCAGATCGCCCTCACCTTCACTACTTGTCCTTTATTTCCCAAAGGTAAGTTTAGGATTGGCTAGGATCGGAATCCAGATACAGCCAACCCAAACACCTGTATTATTTAGTGGCATACCCAGACATCACTGGCAGCAACTAGAACTGCTGTATAACACTATAGACCATGAAAATTTTAGTAACACAGGCTATGTATTTATGAGCTAACCTGAAAATTATTTCACAATTGTCTGTAGCCTGTTCTGAGGGTTCCAACAAATTCCATCTCTCAACAAGTGAAATCAGCCCACTTACTATATCCATGATCAAAATAAGAAGCAAGTGAGCTGGATGCGGTGGTACACACATGTAAGCCTGGCACTTGGGAGGCTGAAGGAGAAGTATCACTGAGTTTGAGGGTGGCCTGGGCGGCCTAGTGGGTTTAAGGCCAACCTGAACTATATAGGGAGACCTTGTCTGAATTTAAAAGGAGAGGGAGTGGTTCACCCAGGAAACCTTCTACACTACCCTCCCCCCAAATCCCTAGATACCTAGAGCAATTCCTATCCAGTCTCATGTTTTATAGCAGCAATTCTCCTTGCACCACGACTTGGCCTTTTAGATCCCTTACTTAGCTTCCTAAGTAAAAGAAAACCAGAGGAGCTAGGTCAGATTTCCAGGCATCCTCATAACTGGATGGATCCACGCCAACACAAAGCCCCAGCCAGGGACTCAAGCTCAGATCTCGCACACATGCCCCATTCATCCCACTGCACCCCTTGGAAGAGCAGAAGCTCTAGCAATCCTTCACAGCTAGTATTTCTTTTTTTAAAGACACAAGCAAATGAAATTTCTCTCAATAGCTTGGTTATTTTCCTTAGACAACTTTAATAAATCAAAACATTCTGGCTGAGTGAGAAAGACTAGTAAAAAAAAAATCTCCAGTTAATGGAGTCAAGGTTAACTTGACTCTTGGTTATATTCTTTCCAAACAATTTTTTTTTAACTATACAAGACTAAAATATGATTCATACTTTTCATTCCAATAGCAAAATTAGATAAATATAAACAAAATTTTCAGTAACATTTTGCCTATATATTTTCTATATTTTCTTTTACTGGGAATTGAACTTAGGACCTTGCACTTGCCAGACAGGTACCACCATGCCATTGAGCTATATACCTCCAGCAATATATTTTTTTAAAGGCATTTGATTTATTCTAATCATATTTCATATGGAGATTTTATTCAAGAGGCTTTTATATAAGACTTTCATTTTTTAAAACTATTATCAGCAGAGCATGGTAGTAGACACCTGTAATTCCACAGCTTGGGAAGCTGAAGCCAGAGGATCATGAATTTGAAGCCAGCCTGAGCTACATGGTTAAGTTCAAGACCATCCTAAACTACATAGAGAAACCCTATCTGAAAACAACAATCATATTAAAATTTTAAAAGTATTAGCTTTTGATACAGTAAATCTCAGGAGCCAGCAAACTTTCTGTAAAGTTCAGACAGTAAATACCTTCAGCTTTGCAGATCAGAGCAGGCACAACAGAACTCAAAAAAGCATCCACAGACACAGAACCACTGAGTACATAGTGAATGCGAGAGAGTTGCTAGTGTTCCAGTAAGACTTACAGAATCAGGGCGGGCTGGTTCGGGCTCCGGGCCTGTGGTTTGTCACCCTTGCTTTAAGAAACCAGACTAGCAAGTAAGCAGTCTATGAAAGACAATCTATGACGTGACTCCAACTTGAATGTAGTGGGTGAGGGCAGTGAAGGGAGGCACTGCCAGATAAAACAAACTAGAAAATCATTTCCTTGAAACTTCCCAACAATTATAAATAAAAACTCTTCTCTCAATTTTCCAAATGTTTTACATTTGCAAACAATAAACAAGTGAACATTTTTATTGTCAATTAAAAAAAAAAATCCATTTTAACGAATCCCAAAGAGTTGAAAAAAACTTTCCTAAAACCAGGAATTGTGAAATGTAACATCCTTAATAACTAACCACATTTTATGGTTAACCTGGACTATAAATCTGCTTATCTTGATTCTTGTACCTGTGTGATCCTTGTAATGGCAGTTTTTTTTCTATACACTCCAAAGGCACCCTATACATTCGACACACAGGACTTGGAATTTATTGTGTTAACTTCCCCAACCAGGCTGTCAGCAACCAGAGCACTGCCATATCCTTGAGCCATCATTTCCTGACACACAGTGACAGCAACACTACTCCTGTTTACAAAGGTGCTAAAGAAGTTAGCAAGTAGTCCTGAAATTTTAACTCCTTTGGTAACACTGAGGCTGAGATTCTGGTAAAAGTCTATTCAGAGCAGCTGCTGGATAGAATGTCACCAGGGCTGGGTGGCCTGGTTAGAGACCTAATTCTAAGCACAGATTCAATCACCCATTTCGAAATCCATCCCCAAATGGGGTGTGCCCTTCTGATGAACTTGGGAAGGAGTATAGGATAACAGTTTTTCCCTCCACCCAAACCTCTACCCCACTGGCCTTTTCCCCTTACTGTGCTCAAAATTCTAACATAAGCCTGGAGTTCCTTTAGGAACGTAAGAAAGCAAGCAGGACAAGCCATAATCCCAGCACTATGGGAGGCTGAGGCTGGAGGCTGGCAGGTTCACTTAGCCCAAGCGACTTCACAATTTAGCAAGACCATCTCAAAGGGAAAAAAAATCTCCTAAACCAAAAAAAATCTGAGCCAAAGTGCACACATAACTAAGTAGTATATTATTTTTTAATCAAGAATATGAAAACAAAATAATACCAATAAAACCAAAAGACCCTTTAATTAAAACAAGACATAGCTTGGTAAATCATTACAAGTGTGTTTACTTTGCTATTAAGAGTGTCAAAGATAAAGTCCTGATGAACACTATTCTAGTGACAAAAGGTAATATCAAATGGAAAAGCATATAAATGCTGTGAACCAAAGGTTCAGTTCAAGTGCTCCTGTGGACAACACGTCTCTACTAAAAATGAAAGCAGGAGCCAGCTGGGCTTGGTGGTGCACACCTGTAATGCCTGCACTGGGGAGGCTGAGACAGGGGGATCACTGAGTTTGAGACCAGCCTGGGCTACAAAGTGAGCTCAAGGCCGGTCTCAGCTGCATAGTGAGACCCTTTCTCAAAAAGATCTCAACCCCCACCACAAAAAAAAAAAATGAAAGCAAGTGATGGCTGCGTGTGGAGCTCTGTGGCACAGCACTGGCCTAGCGTACTTAAGGCCCTGAGTTCAATCCCCAGTACAACAAAGGAAAAAAGTAATCAGCATTGTCCTCTGAATACTTCATGTTACCCTCCTCCTCCTCCCCACACAGGGGGAAAAACCAAGAAATTTCAGAGACCTGTATGTGGGAAAACTTTTTTTTTTTTTATTTATTTATTTGAGAGAGAGAGAGAGAGAGAGAGAGAGAGAGAGAGAGAGAGAGAGAGAGAGTGGTGTGTGTGTGGCCAGGTCAGCCCACCAGGGGGCGGGGCTGGCTGGCATGTGGTGCTGGGGGATCGAACCGCAGTCCCTGATGCTTTGATAAGCTTGTTCCAAGTAGGTGCTTTAGACCACTGAGCCATCTCTCCAGCCCCGTGGGAAAACTTTTGAGTGTAAATTAGATCTCATAAGTGTCATAATGGCAGTCAGCATCGTTCTTTAAGAACCTGTAATTGGGAGTAATATCTCACTAACACACAGGTATGTTTAGTCTCAAAAATAAAACTACTTTTTTTTTAAACACCCCCACAAAAACCCCTTTTGTAAATTTTATTTATTTACTTATTGGCAGAACCGGGGATTGAACTCAGACCCTTGTGCTTGCCAGGGAAGTGCTTATTCCACTGAGCCATCTCCCCAGCCCCTAAAACTACCTTTTGAAAAAAACTTTTTTCTTATAAGGCAATAAATTTGTACACATTAGTAACTCTGAATTTTTAACAGCCAAAATTGTACAGTCCTGAGCCAGCTCCAATGAAAGCAAATTCTTCATTGGAGCATTGTGTTCTGGTTTTTTGTTTTGTTTTGTTTTGTTTTGTTTTGCTTTTTTTGCGGAACCAGGGATTGAATTCATGGCCTCTACTGAGCCATCTCCCCGGCCCCAGCATTGCGTTCTTGAGACAAGGTCTTGCTATAGTTCAGGTTGCCTTGAACTCACAATGTAGTCCAGGATGGTCTCAAACTGACTTTTCCTGTATCAGCCTCCTGAGCGCAGGAGTCAGTGCAGAAGATGAGAGCACAGTACAACTGTGGCTGGAGGTGCCTTCCTTGAAGGCCAGGCCTCAAGCTAAAGACTGATTAGACCTACATGCCTCTGAGAGATAAACAATACTGATACTACCTAGTCCAATAATGTCTAGATAGGCATCAGTCACCTAGGTAGGTGACCAGGGCCTCCTGACTCATCTCTCCTTATTCTTTCCTGTACCCATGACTTGCTTCTCCGGCTACCAATACAGTTTTTACCCAAGCTGCTATACTTTGTAATCTTATTGTTTGATCAGTTTTGTCCCACCTTGGACCCACCTCCTGATGTTGCTCTATAAAACTTCCTTTGAAGCCTGGGATGGTAGTGCATGCTTGTAATTCCAGCATTAGGGAGGCTGAGGATTGTAATGAGTTCGAGGCCAGCCTGGGCTACATAGTAAGTTCAAAGACAGCCTGAAATATGTAGTAAGACCCTGTCTCCAAAAAGAGAAGTGGGCTGGTGAGCAATCCATATCATATCAAATCCCCCCCACCCCATCTCTCCCTCCACAAAATTTCCTACTCTTAACCTTCTTTGTATCTTAGAATTCATTCTTCCATTTCGGAGAACACAGTGTATCAGGCATCTAACAGGTTGAGGGTTACATTTATTTCTCCTATATCACAGAGATTGAATCCAAGGTTTAAACACTGTGCTACAGTTCTACATCAACAAACACACCCTGACTTAACATTGAACAGTCTCACTAAATTGTCCACGATGGGCTCTAACTTGCGATCCTCCATCCTTCTGCCTCAGCCTACAACAGTGCTGGGACAACGGGGCATGCGGAACCATACACTGTTGCTTGCTTGAAGTTGCCAAAGGAGAACTTTAGTAGCGTACCACCTGGCTCGCATATTTGTGTTGGACTGCAGAACCCTGAGCCTTTTTTACCTGGTTGTTTAAACCCACCTCCCACAGTTATGAGGATTCAGCGAATCAGGGCAGGTAAAAACTCAAGCTACATTTCTTATTCACCACCACAAGGCTGATGCCCAAGCAGGTGCCAGCACCAACAGGCTGAGAAATGGAGGGAACGGCGGTCACCTGACTTCAGCTCTCTATGATCAACATCTGGAGGACGCGCCCCTCTCCTCTGAAAGAGTGGCCGCCCACTCCTCGGTGTGCGGTGCTGCAGCGCGGGGCCTGAGAGCGGGCGCCCGGCAGGCCCCGTGAGGCTCCAAGGCCCGCGCGCGAGAGAGACGGCGCTCGGCCGCGGCCCCGCCACCTACCTGCGGCGCCGAGTCCCCAAACGCCGCGGCCGCCGCAGCGCCTGACACCAACACAGAGTCCGCTCCTTCCGCCGGTTCCTGCTCCATCGTTGTTGCGGCCACGGGGCTGGTGGCGAGACAGGGAAATGGCCGATAAACCCAATTCCATCCTCCGCCTCTCCGCCCAGTAGCTGGCGGAGCCTGGCGGACTGGAATAGGGGACTCAAGCGGCAACGCCCCGCCGCGCCCCACCCTGCCGGGTCACGTCACCGGACAGCAGCCGCGCGGCCTAAGGGCGGGGCCAATAGGGGTGGGCGGGGCCACCGATGATGGGCGGGGTCGGGCAGCACGCGAGCCGAGGGAGTCGGAGCTTCCTTTCCCCGTGGGGCAGCCTTCAGTTGCGCCGCTTCCGGCCAGGCAGGCTTAGGGAGCTCGCTGCATCCCCGCCTACCACCTTGTGGGACCTCCTGCCTCTTACCTGCACTTGAGCCTCGGGGTGCGTATTTGGGGACTGGCGCTGACCCACCGAGGGCCGGACAGTCGCACTTCGGGAGCGTGGTTTCTGCTCGTGAAAAGTGAAGACAGCTGCGTGGTGTGCATCAGACAGCTAGTGTTGAGATGGGGTTGCCGAGCATGGGAAACGTGTATCTCCAGTTCCTAACATGGATGCCAGCCAGCCCAGCCAAAGCACCCTTGCGCCAGCCTCGCATTTGTAATCTCAACACAGGAGAGGCTGAGGCGGGAGGACTGCTGCGAGTCCGGGACCAGCCTGGGATACAGGGTGAGACAAGGCCAATCTGAACTACATAGCGAGACACTGTCGCAAAACAAAACAAAAACGAAAACCTTCGAGCTGTGTGTAGTGGCACACGCTGTAACGCCAGCTACTCTGCAGGCTGCTGCCTTGCCGCCCTCGGTGGCAGGAACTCCCATTCCCTCCTCCCAGGTGGATCCCAAGTCACTCTCGCGGTGGGGGACGTGCCTGATTCCCAGGGGTCAGGCGGGGCTGTCCGAGGCTACCTTTTCTCTGCAGTCGGGACCTTGCGCCGCTAAGCTACAGTCCTGGCCTGAGTCTTGTTTCTTAGTACACTGAAAATTCTAACTGAAAGTAATAATGTTTCCTAAATACAGTAATCTTAATAGAACTAGGCAATTGAAGAACAGTTTATTACAAATGACAATTCAACGTAAAAGCATGAAATCCCATTGGTTTTATTTGGGACATTTATGTTTTTGTCAATATTTATAAACTCTCATAGCTCAAGTAAAAGTGAGCAACAGAACAACAGGTTTTCCCCCTCACTTTGTAGTATTACTACTGTAGCAGCACCGTCACAAAAATAAATTCAAATATTATAATCTGCTAGAAAACGTAAAAATGCTATACAGTGGTACTTTGGTTCACGAATTTAATTCTTCATGCGATTCTGGAAATTGCACATTTTTAAAAATTATTCATTTGGTACAGGGTCTCACTATGCAGTTCAGACTCATAGTGATCCTCCTGTCTCAGCCTCCCCAGCACTAGGATTACAGGCGTGCACCACTAAGCCTGGTTTCTGTGGCCAGCATGGTGTACCCAGGGGGCTGGAGCCCGCACAGCATGTAGCACTAGGGATCAAACTTGGGACCTGTGCTTCCCAGGAAGATGGTTAGACCGCCGAGCTATCTCCCCAGCCCCTGTATATTTTTATAATTCGACTGCAACCAGAATCATCAAATGAATTAATTTCATGAATCAAGGTACCACTGTACAAAAAGCTAAAACAGTAAATTTGGATCTACTCATATCTGTGTAAGGTTGAAAACAATAAAATTTGATAAGCAGGAATGTTCACAAAATAAACTTTATCTCTTTTGCACAGTGTTTTGTCAATACATAAAATTATTTTTCAGGTTGTCCTACACCTCAAATGGCATCCACATCCTCTTTAATTTTATTCTTTATGTATTTGGCACAGGGTCTCACTATGCAGCTCCAACTCAGATTCTCCTTTTTTCAGCCTCCCCAGCGCTGGGATTACAGGCATGTGCCACCATACATGGTCTTACCTGTTTATTTTTAAGGAGGATATATTTTCATACACAATGATGTACATGAGCTGGGTGAAGTAGCCCATGCCTGTGATACCAGCTACTCAGGAGGCTGCGGGCAGCCTGAACACCACAGCAAGACTCCATCTCAAAAAGGAAAATTAAAAAGAACAGAAAGATAAAAATTAGAATGACTTTTTGTTGATTTACACATAGAGAAAAACATCAATTACTAAGTAACCATGGTGGTTTCATTGTGGAACGTTAAATGCAGGAACTAAGCTAAAGGCTTTCCTGTATGACCTCTTCTTCCTCACAGTAACCCAGGTACTATGAACAGCTCAGGTGAAGCAACAAAGATTCAGACAGTACCTGCGTTAGGACAGTTGGCAAACAGGAGAGCTAAGATTCACACCTAAGCAGTGCCCTGCACAACACCGATAGCATCTCAGCTACTCAGGCTGAGGAAGAGGATCACTAGAGTCCAGGAATTTAATACATCATGATGATGATTGATGATGATGATGATGATGATGATGATCTCTTTGAGTCAGGGCAGCAGTTCAGGCTGGCCTGAAGTTCACTCTAGCCCAGGCTAGTACTGAACTCCCAAAGATCCTCCTGCTTCAGCCTTGAATGGTGGGATTACAATTGTGTGCCACCACTCCTGGCTCAAGCCCAGTTTAGAACATAGCAAGGCCCTGTCTTTAAAAAAAGAAAAGCAATCAACTGGTCTTTGTGGTACACACCTATAATCCCAGCACTCAGGAGGCTGAGACAGGAAGATGGTTGAGTATGGCACTAGGCTGGGTTACATAGCAAGTTCAACATCAGGTTGAACTATATACCAAGACCCTGTCTTAACAAAATAGATATAATTCTCTAAAGATTATATAATTGATCTTGAAAGATCTCATCAGTCAGGGCAAGATAAATCATAGATTGTTTTGGGGTGGGTTTTGTTTTTTTTTGTCTTGAACTACATAGTCAAGGATGGTCTCAAACTCATGATGCAGCCAGGCCAGCTTTGAACTGAGCAATTCTCCTGACTCAGTCTCCCAAGTGCTGGGATTGCATATGTGTACCACAACATCTGGTTCATTATTTGACAAAATAAGAAAAAAAAAATCAACTTTTTATCAGATAAAGTGTCAAAAATGTGCAGCTATATTGTTGTAACAATTCTGTACGAACTGTATTATCCCTTAGATGATTTCCCAAGATCAGGAAATATAGGCCCGTGAACATATCCAGTACATAGATCATCTCTTTTGGGTCAGTGAGGAATAAGTTTCCTTTTCCATTTATAAAAGCTCATAAAAAGCAAGTAAGCATGACTCTAAAATGTGCACATATGCAGTCTTTATATGTTCTTGCTCCATGGGACATAGGCCCTCCCTCTGGGAATAGGACATAAAATTTTAAGATACTGACTGTGGAAACAGCTCAGCAGCATAAGCACCTGCCTGGCAAGCGCAAGGTCTTGAGTTTGATCCCTGGTACCAAAAAAGAAAAAAAACAAAAACAAAAAAAACCCTTTAAGATACTTTAAGAAAACGAGGCCACACACGCTGTCAGGCCCACGTGCTTCCTCTAAGCAGGAAAAGCTCCTTGCAGTAGCCTCTGAGGTGTCCAAGGCCCAGGCAGCAGAGCTTCCTGCGGAGCTCATGGGAATCATCCATTATAGGCAGGCACTATCGTGCAGCTTCTTGGCAGTTTTTCCATTTATAATCAATACCAAAAATGCACTGTTTCAGACTAATGAAAGAACCCTGAAGCCAAGTGATGCTAATAGATATAATATTGCTCTTCAGATGAAGAGACAAATAATAATGAAAGAACTGCAAAAAGCTTCAGATTCATGCCAAGTGCAGAAGAATTTATATCGAAGTAAACACCACATTCATACCATACTGATCAGTCTGCTGAGTGTATTTTCACCTTTAGGGTACTACATATGAAATTACTTTGTACTTAATAAGCTCATATTACAGACAAGAGGTCAATGCAAAGGGTTTGGGCTTAGGGTCTCAGGTAAAGCAGCTAGTCAACTTGAAGCACAGATTACCTATCCCCAAGGGGCAAAGTGTGAGGAAAACTCAGCAAAATTTTGCACTGCATTAATTAACTACTATAACAACGTGCTACCAGCTAGCATGAAGTTTAATCCCTCAGCATCTGAGATGTAGATTAATCATTCCTGTAAACCATGGCTCAAAAGCAAAGGAGAAATTCAAAGTAATGGAATAACCTAATTTTCAGAATGTGGTAAATGGAACAGAATTTTAAAGATTGTTTAGTTTCCAATCCAACAGATACCAATGAGTTGGGTGTGGTGGTCTGTTCCTAAAAGCACAGCAATGAGGAGCTGAGAAGCAGGAGGATCAAGGCAGAGGCAGTTTTGAGACCAGTCTGTACTACACAGTGAGTTCACGGCCAACCTAAAAGACTTAATGAGTCACTGGGGAGATAGCTCAGTGGCAAAAGTGCCTGCTTAGCAAGCACAAGAGAGTTTGATCCCTGGTACTGAAGGAAAAAAAGAGACTTTTTTGAGACTTAACCTAGTTGCAAAAAAACAAACAAACAAACAAAAAAAACACTGATTAAAAAAAAAAATCATCCTGATATAAACTGTGATGATGGCTGTCTGGTTTGAATATTATTACTTAACATTCCTAGGTTTTGAGAAAGATCAATAACTATATACAGAGTTTTTGTTTTATTGAGATAGGGCCTCACTATGTATTCCAGGCTGCTTTAAACTCATTATGTAGCCCAAAGTGACCTCAAACTCTTTGAGGACCCTCTTGTCTCAGCCTCTCAAATGCTACGACTACAGGCATGTACCACTATGCCTGTCTACACTTCACTGTTATTTAATCATGGTTTTTATTAAGTTTTTAAGCTCATTTAAATTCTTAGCTGTTTTCTGTATTTAAACAATGAAATATTTTCCTTTACTGTTGTTAAGGTTTGTGTCTAGATGCTCTCCAACAGCCTCATGAAGTGGGGTAGGGGGGACACTTTTCAGAGGTGGCTAGATCTGGAGTGTGTGGTGCTGAAATCAAGGGTGTGTGATTACTCAGTCTGCTCACTGGTTTGGCATCGCTCTGGCTAGGACTGAGGGTGTGAATGCTGTACCTGGCCTAGGACAAGTAGCTGGCATACAATGTAAGGGACAAAAGGAGGTCTGTCTTGACCCTTGTTCCTTTGCTACCTTCTGCCCACATTAACTGTAACTCCTGTGATGCCTCTCTGCTAGTCCACCCTGCCTTGGAGCCAGCTGATTATGGACTGAAACCTCCACAAGTATGAGCTAAATACATTTTTTCTCCCTTAACTTGTGGGTGTTGGGTATTTATTTTCATCTCAGCAACAAAAGTAACTACAACCACCACACATATAAGCACCAAGTTAAGTTCCTTCACATTTTTACTTTAAATGTTTTGATGTATCTTTTAATACAATGTATGTACTAGTGCTTCTTATAAAAGAAGTTTGAAGTTTTACACTGTGGTCTACTTTTAAAAATCTCTTAAATATGCTGATATACTATAATATAGACTTTTGATTCCAGCAAATTTTCTAGTTTTACTGCCATCTGTCTGTCAGTACTCATTTGTATCACTTCCCATCCAAGTACTAACCAGGCCCGACACTGCTTAGCTTCCTAGATCAGACGAGATCAGGGTGAGATGGCCCTAGACTCATCGTAACATTTCTTTTTTTTTTTTTTTGGAGGAACCAGGGATTGAACTCAGGCCCTTGCACTTGCCAAGGAAGCGCTTATTCCACTGAGCCATCTTCCCGGCCCCAACATTTCTTTTTAGTTATGTGACATTACATTTCTATTCAAGGTCAGTACAATTTCATTGCATATCAGAACCTAGGATTTTATCTTACATTATAATATACTCTATTCATTTGTGCAAAATAATGGATTATGTAACACACTTATTGTAAGGTTCCTTCTTCTGGCACAAAAGAAGCAGGAGAAAAGCAAATCAATCCTTTAAGGCTCAGTGCAGGAAGGCTGCCAAAGAGAAGCAAAGCCCTCTGAGGAGGAGGCAAGGAGACAATTTATCCAGTTGGGATTCGGGGTAGTGTCTGCATGGGCAGTAAGGTGTTGACTAGCAGGCGTTGACCAGGGAAGGCTTGGAGTGTGTGTGTAGGGGGACAGTTTGCCATTACCCGGGGGAAGAAAATGGAAGTCAATCTAGGGGTGACTCCTCCTTGGTTCTGGGATCCCCACACCATGCTGACTTGCCACCATAATGACTCGGTGGACCTCTGTGTGGGTGCAGACCCACCACTTATTATATGATCAAAAGTACTTAAATTTTCCCCATAAAATTGCAATATATATATAGATATATATGTTGCAATTTCAGAAGATTCACACCACATTTAAGTTGCCAATTTGCCCTCTTTTGGTTTGGTAGTTTGTTGCTATTTAACGCTAGCCTTATTTTTGTTTTATACTTACATAATCAGTATAAATTTAAGGAAGCTCTACTTAGGTTTATGTTTGCATACATTGAGGTAACATAGTATGATTAAGGAATTCAATATTGCACAATATTATAGCTAGCTAGGGGCCTACATTGGGACTACTTCAGATATAAAAAGCCAAGAGACAATTTTAAAATAATGAAAATAAAGCAGAATGTTTTCAAATTAACAAAAAGAGAAATGGAAGCTGAACTAGAAAGTCTAGAACTTTAGCTGTCCTTTGCAATGTTAACTTCCTAAAAATAAACTTGCATTAGACATAAAAATATTAAAACCTGTACTGAAACCATAAAAGTTACTATGATCAGAGGTCTCTAATAATTCTTTTTGATCAAAACTCAAAATTGAAATTTGAAAAAAATTACCAAAATGCAGACATCAGAAAAATGCACACATCCTAAAAGGTGGTATGCATGTTTCATTAAGAACTAACATGAAGGACAATATATTCTCTAGCTAACCCTTGTTATGACATTTCTACAGAATATAATTTTTACTTTGACGCAGTGTCCTTTAGGAGTACTTCAGTTTTTGTCTCACCAAAAAGTATTTGTGGAATAAAAAATCTTTGCCCAAGTAAACAAGAAAGTCATTAATATTTTATTATTATTTTTAATATTTTATTATTTTTAAAAGATACTTTGGCAGAATCACAGAAAATCAATATTAAGCTGGGAGTGGTAGTACACACCTTAAACACAGAAGCTTGGAGACTGAGGGAGAAAGATTGCAAGTTCAAACCCAAATCAGGGCACTTAGTGACTTAGCAAGGCTCTGTTTCAAAAAACTGTAAAAGGGGTGTGGACGTGGCTCAGGGCAAAGGCCTTGGGTTTCACTTCCAGGACAACAAAGATGATGATGAAGACGAGAACAAAGACTAATATGGAGGAGGAGGGGAAAGAGGATGACACAAAAGGCAAATGCTAGCTTATTTCTTCTGCTCTTTTGTCTTCCTGTGAATCAATCCTCCATAGGTATCATTTCATCCTAAGTCAAAATATATTTTAACACAGTAACTATTATCTTCATGTCATAGACAAGGTAATCATTCTAAGATTTTCAATTAACCCTATTTTCCCCTCTTTTTTGAGACAGGGTCTCAATATAAAGTTCAGGCTGGCCTTGAGCTCACTTTGTAGCCCAGGCTGGTCTGGAACTTGCAACAGTCCTTCTGCCTCAGCCTTCCACGTCCTGGGCCTATCATTTTTTATAAGCCATAACTGTAGACTAGCACAGTGATGTGCACTGGTAAACCCAGCTACTCAGTAGGCTAAGGTAAAAGGGTCACTTGAGCTTGGTAGCTGGGGACCAGTCTGGGCAACTTTCTCTAAAAACAGTTTAAAAGACCTGTGTAGCAATCCAAGGTAATCAATAACCAGATTAAATGTATCATGGGCTGTCTCTTTCATTATTTTTTTCTGGCAACACTTGGGATTGAATCCAGCCTTTAATTGAGCTAAGTCCTAGACCCTTTATTATATTTTATTATGAGGCAGGGTCTTGCTAGGACAACTACTGCCCAGGCTTGCCTTGAACTTTTGATCCTCAGGTCTCAGCTCCCATACAGCAGGCATGTACCACAATACCAGCTTATTGTTAATATGTAACACTATCAGGCTCATGATTTCCCATTATTTTCACATAGGAAGTCCATATATTAGCTACTATCAAAGTATATCAATTTTCTCAAATAGGTTGTTAGTCTATAAAAATCCTAACTTTAAAAAAGTAGTCATTACAGTGTCAAAATAGGTAAAAGGTCCAGGCTATCTGTAGACTCATCATACAGTGTAAACTGTAACCAAATTCTTGATTTCGATTTAAATAAGAGCTACTATTTTCTACAAGAAAATTATTTTTGTATTCTAAGATAACTAAAAATTCCTAATACTCTTGATTCAATTCCTCTAACATATTTTCCATTAAAAATGTATTTCCAGGTATATTGTTTGTCTTTGCAGTGTTGGGGACTAAACCTAAGGGCTTTGCACAAAGCTGTATCTCCAATTCATTCATTCATTCTCTGTTCTTTTTCTCTTTCTCTCTCCATCTCACCCCGCTTCTCTTTATTTCTTTGTCATAATTGCTCAGCCTCAGCTTGAACTTTTGATCTTCTTGCCTCACCCTCCCAGTGTTGGAGTTATAGACTTGGTCACCACACCCAGCTTCCAGGTATCATTACATGACACATCTATTGGCTCTTTTTATCTTTCCTTTGTGTGATGCGCTGATTATTTTAAAATATAAAGAAATTTAGCAACCCCTTAATTTATAACCACTTTGAATTTTATTTTACAGCATTTTTATAGGGACATCATGTGGGCCAGGGATTTAGCTCAGTGGCACAGCACCTGCCTGGCAAGTGTGAGATACTGAGTTTGATTCCCAGTTGCCCTACCCCAAAAGAGAGAGACATCACGTAACATACTGACCAGGACCATTTACAAATATAATGTTTGGCCTTTAAGACAATTAAAAATACATTTAAGTACTAAAATTTTACATCATGAATTGTTTAATTCAAGACGTATTTCAATGGTGAGAACAGAGGATAATTAAAACCAAAAGTAGAATGATTTCCACAAAACTCATATTTTCCTTCCTTTTATCAAAAGAGGGAAGAAAAAGAAAAGGAGGGAAAAAAGGACAAGACAGGCAAGAAAAATACTTTTTTCCCCATTTGCAAAAAGGAAGAAAACTCTCTGAGGTCTCAGCAAATAATGTAATCACCAAAGACAGTTTATATTAAGGCATCGTCTTTACATGTTGTTGAATCCCATCATGCCTTTCATGTTGCCAGCAGCACCCTGTTGAAACTGCCTCATCATTGATTGAAGTCCTGCCATACCACCTAGAGTGAAAAACAGACATGCAATTATTGAGCAGAACTTGAAAGATTTGTTACTTTTGCCTACCCTGTATTTAACTTCTAAAAAACACTGTGTTCTGATTGCAAGTTAGTCATTAGCCCTAAAGAACGACTAAACACTTGTGGTGTTTTTTGTTTGTTTTTGAGACAGCGTCTCACTATGTAGTTCAGGCTGCCCTTGAATTCGCAGTCATGCTCCTGCCTCAGCTTCCCAAGTACTGGGATTACAGGTATGTGCCACTATGCCCAGCCTAAAAATCTGTGTTGTCAGTTTCCTCATGTATAAAAGAAAATGAATACTCTACTGCATTAAGTTACTTGGAGGAATAAGAAAAAATATGAAAACATCTTACAATACCACCTGTCAGTCAATACATCTAAATAAAAAAACTTGTTTGGACAAGAACAAGAGTCTTCTTGTAAACAAAACTAAGACACATAAAAAGTTATTCCTTATTAAACATCTGCTATATAATTGGCATAGTATGATTTCATGTATATTAGCTCATTTCACTGTCATGATTTCCTGGTGAGATGTTACTTGTGACTTCACAAAAGGAGAAAGTGATGAAAAAAAAAAGAGAGAGAAAGGAAAGTGACACTCAGAAAGTTTAAGCAACTTCTCAAAGTTACACCAATAAAAGTGGAATTGGGGCTCAAATTCCCTATGTAATGTCAAAGTAATTGAACATATCCAGTATCAAAATATGGCAAAAGGTCACTAACTAGGACAAGCATTAATATGATTAAACAGCATGCTCAAAAATCACTCTGGTTACAATAGAGTAAAAAAGTTTCAGCTAATCTAGTGCTATTAACTATTCATCTTAGGATCAGGTAGTCATTTCCCTCAAATTATGTATCTTTGGAACAGATTTTCATAATATTCAACAGAAGGCTTACCACTAGAACTCAATCTTTATCAATTAAATGGTGCATTAGCAACAGGCGACAACATTATATTTACCCATGTGATGAAGAACTCTTGGATCCATCATTTTGGCCATCTGTTGATTCAATTTTGCCATCTGTGACTGGCTCACATTCTTAGACATGTCGCCACCTGAACAAAACAGTTTTGACATGTATGAAATAGAGTAGCATAGGGAGTTCAATAAACTAAATAAAGATGAAGATTTCACCTATAATCTTATTAATCTAACACAATTACTAATATTTGTACAAATTCCCTATTTTATTGAGATTACCTACCTTTTATTTTATTTTATTTTTTTGATTACCTACCTTTTTGAGGAAGAACAAATATAATTCTACGTAAAGAAATATTTAAAAGATTTTCCAAAAGCTGTGATGTTTTTCTAATACTCTTAGGCATATCTGTGAGCCACTATAATGAAAACTGTATAGAGTAGTTATCAACATGAAACTATAAAAACAATTGCTTAATAATAACAATAATCAGACTTAATGAGCAAATTTGAACAAAAAGCTGAGTTTCTAGACAGAGGGGCTAACTGGGAGAAACTAGATTATTGGTAAATGAACATGAATGTTCATTTCTGAGAGAAAGTACAT